AATCTCTTTGTTCAAGAGAGTTTTAAATTCTTCTGGCACTTTCGGTAGGTCAGCTGATTGTAAATACTGTACAATGTCATAATTATTTCTCCATTCATCATCTTTGTATAAATTCTTATAAAACTCATATGCCACTAATTTCTTTCCTTCATTCTGGTACACCATATCACCTTCTGCATTATAAAGTTTAGTAATCCTCTGCTTGTTATTATGTTTTTTAATTTTATAAGGCAACCATCTCCCTGGTTTATTGGCATTTTCGAAGAAATTTTGTTTAGTACGTTTTATCTGCTGTCCTAATTCTTCCTTCCCAATAATATTCATCTTGTGTTTAATTAGATCTATCTGTTGTTTCAAATCACATCTTTGTGGTTCCTTTTGTAAATTTTCCTCAACTCTACTTAATTCTTCTTCTAAGTGTCTTTGTCGTTGTGTTTTGATTTTGTGTTCCCTGGCCATGTAAGAAATGGCAACGCCTCTCATAAAGGCTTTGACTGTATCCCATAAGTTTTGGCAATTCGTATCTTCCTTTTTATTTGTCTTCCAATTTCAATTTGAATTCTTTATGTTTTAGAATTGCTCTTTTCAGAGTCCATCTTCTCATATTTTTTTGCCCCTTCCATCTAATTCTAATTGGATTATGGTCAGCCCATGTGTTTGTATCGATTACAATATCCTCTACCTCTAAATTTAAGTCTGCTGACATCCACACCATATCAATTCTGGACCATGATTGATGACGTCCAGAGTAGAATGTAAACTGTTTTTTCTCTAAATTCCTCTCTCTCCAAGTATCCTGAATATTGAGCTCATCTACCATTTTTAGGAATGTATCAGGTATTGTTCCTCTGGTTCTTTTTCTACTCTTTCCATATTTGTAGTCTAGGTGTCTATCCACAATTGCATTGTAGTCTTCCATTATACAAATGTTGTCATAGTCCAATTGATTAATAATGTTATGTAGTTTTTATAGAATTGTTTCTGCCCCTCATTCGGGGCATAAATTCCCACCAGGAGAATTTTTATTTTATTCAAAATTACTTCCACTATTAAAATTCTACCCTCTTCGTCTTTATAAATTTGCTTTGCCAAAATTTCCTGTTTGATATATGCTACAACTCCTCCTTTCTTGTATTGCGAGAGTGCCGCAAACATGTTTCCCAATTTAGGGCAGTTTAATAAATATTGATATTGTTTTTTTATATGAACTTCTTGTAACATAATTATATCTAAATTCATCTTATTAAGCTTGTTTAATTTTTTTTCCTTTTTATTGGAGAGTTGAGACCATTAACATTGATGGATATAGATTCAACACCTTTTTCCCCCTCCTTATCTATATTTGGATCTGGTTACTATTGTCGGTCTAGACTCTTGAATTTGTAAATCCTTTCCTCTTTCCACTAACAATCTTGTCGGTCTAGCCTCTTTAATTTCTTTAGGTCTATTCTCCTCATATTTCCCTTCATTTTTCCCATTATCAATATCCTCTCTAATCTCGACTTGTTTATCTTTAGATTCAGTGGCCTCAGCTGGTATCTCTCCTTCCTCTCTTACCTCTCTTTCAACTAAATCTTCCTCACTGCCAAAGTTTTTCCTATAGAATTCCTCTGCTTTATCTATGGAGTCTAAACGGAACTTTTTCTCTTGCCATGTAACCAGAATCCCTTCCGGGGTTAACCATCTAAAGTTAATATTTTTTCTCGTCAGTTTAAGGGTTATTTGTTGGTAGGGCCTTCTCAAGTCTCTCACTCTTTTAGGTACTTGTTTAAGTACAATCAGCTGTTTACCTCGCTACTCCAATGAGTCATCTCTGAACCTGAAGAGTATTTCGTCTCTAATTGATTTCTTAATAAATCTAACGTGTACTTCTCTGGGAAGATTGTGCCGTCTTGCATAGTTCGTGTGGATTCTGTAAGTCTCATCTATCTCACTGGCCATCTCTTCTTTGCTGGACCCCAGAGCCCCCGCTAGTATATCTGACATTATCACTGGAAGATCTTCACCTTTTATCTCACATACATTTTGGAACCGTAAATAATGAGTGGCCTTCTCAAGTTCCAGGGAAATAACTGTGGATTCTAATTCTTTGTTAGCCTGAACTAACCTCTCATTCATTTCATCTACTCTCTGCTTTTCTTTATCCATCCTTTCCTCCATTTCTGATAGTTTTTGTTCGTTTTTCATAATCTGCTGATGAAAGGATTCAAGTTTCCCATCCATGGACTTGATTTTGTCCTTAAGTTCCCCTGTGTCGTTTCTTACTTCCCCTATTTCTTTTTTTAGATCTTCATGATTCTTGCACATCAACTCTTGCATTGATTGCAACATTTGTTGCAAATCTCTGAATGAGTTTGCCCTATCTTTTTGCGCCATTTCTTCTAGCGATCTTTGCCTGGCAGGGCTCGGTTCCAACAATGTAGTCTGAGATGTCTGTTTCCTCCCTATTCCAACCCTTGTAAGATTGGGGATACTAGACATTTTTTTCAATTCTCCAAACCAACCTCCCCACTTATTTACATTTTTTGTAATATTTTCCAGAATATCAGAGTTATCACTTAGAGTCAAAAATTTCTGCTCATATATCTACTTGACATTTACAAACAGTCACTTTCCCTTATTATTAGTTTCCCCCCCCCTCTTATAGCAATTCTCAGTTCAGCCAGCAGGTGTCCTTTGGCTTTATCTCTAATATACGATCTGCCTGTTCATTTCAAAATGCCTACCTCCTTGACTTCTTCCAGGCATTCACTCTGAACCTTAAAGTAAGCTTGCCTTCCTAAGTTAAACTTTCCTTCCTTGGAATAAAGAAAGAAGAAAGAGACTCCTTTTCTCCTTAAATCTGACCAACGTAGTATATCCGCAGTGTAGGCAAACCTTTTAAGCCCAAACCTTCCTTTTCGCCGCTTTTCCAGAGACGAGGGAAAATCCCTCCTCCCCTCTTGTGGGCATTTGAAATCTTCAAATTTCTATCAAAACCCTCTGGAGCGCTCTTGCACCGGATCCCTTCTGTCCAAGATCACTGCTCAGATAACTTTTGACTGTAGTTGTCACGTCTCGTCCTGCTATACCACCGCTATGCTTCGGCCAGCTGACAGCTGTCATTCCTTCGCGGCCGCCATTGTTGGCCAGTTCCTTCCTCTGCTCAACTTGCCAAGGCTTCTCCCGAGTTCGCCAGTCCCGACTGCCATCTGGAACCGCTCCCCAGGACACCTTGTTATTCCCGGTCCCCCTCCAAGGAACCAGGGACCCCAAAAGGTCTGTCAAGCAATCGGAAACAGGGGTAGATGCTCCGGAGAGTCGTTCAACACACCCGTTCTTCTTGGCAGCTGGCCCTGCCCCCCCACTGAACTATATTTTTCAAAGATCCTGGAGCACTGGGGAACTACCAGAGGACTGGAAAAGAGCTGATGTAGTTCCCATCTTCAAAAAAGGAAAAAAAATGGATCCAGGAAATTACAGACCTATCAGCCTGACCTCAATACCTGGGAAGATTCTGGAAAAAATAATCAAACAACGAATCAGCGAACACCTACAAGCAAACCAAGTCATTACTAAAAGCCAACACAGGTTTGTCAAAAACAGATCATGCCAGACAAATCTTATTGCATTCTTTGACCAAGTGACAAAATTAGTGGACCAGAGGAATGCTGTGGATATAATTTACTTGGACTTCAGTAAGGCATTTGACAAAGTAGATCACAACCTACTACTTGATAAGATAGAAAAATGTGGGTTAGACAGCATCACCACCAGATGGATCCGTAGCTGGCTGACTGGCCATATTCAGTGTGTGGTCCTCAATGGAACCACATCTACATGGAGGGAAGTGTGTAGTGGGGGGCCCCAGGGCTCTGTTCTGGGCCCAGTACTCTTCAACATCTTCATCAACGATTTGGATGAGGGGATAGATGGGGAATTCTTCAAATTTGCAGACGACACCAAGCTGGCAGGAATAGCCAACACTCCAGAAGATAGGCTTAGGATACAGGAGGATCTGGACAGACTTGAACACTGGGCGCTAACAAAATGAAATTCAATGGTGAAAAAAGTAAGGTTCTACATTTAGGCAAGAAAAACCAAATGTACAGATATAGTATAGGGGGTACCTTGCTCAATAGTAGTAACTGTGAGAGGGATCTCAGAGTCCTAGTGGACAATCATTTAAATATGAGCCAGCAGTGTGCTGCAGCTGCCAAAAAAGCCAACACAGTGCTAGGCTGCATTAACAGAGGGATAGAATCAAGATCACGCGAAGTATTAATACCACTCTACAATGCCTTGGTAAGGCCACACTTGGAATACTGCATCCAGTTTTGGTCACCACTATGTAAAAAAGATGTTGAGACTCTAGAAAGAGTAGAGAGAAGAGCAACAAAGATGATTAGGGGACTGGAGTTTAAAACATATAAGGAAAGGTTGATGGAATCGGGTATGTCTAGTTTAATGAAAAGAAGGATGAGGGGGGACATGATAGCAGTGTTCCAATATCTCAGGGGCTGCCATAAAGAAGAGGGAGTCAAGCAATTTTCCAAAGCGCCTGAAGGCAGGACAAGAAGCAATGGATGGAAACTAATCAAGAAGAGAAGCAATCTAGAACTAAGGAGAAACTTCCTGACAGTTAGAACAATTAACCAGTGGAACAACCTGCCTCCAGAAGTGGTGAATGCTCCAACACTGGAAGTTTTTAAGAAGAAACTGGACAGCCATTTGTCCAAAATGGTATAGGGTTACCTGCCTGAGCAGGGGATTGGACTTGATGACCTCCAAGGTCCCTTCCAACTTTATTATTATTATTATTATTATTATTATTATTATTATTATTATTATTATTATTATTATTATTATTATTATTATTATTATTAAATCTATGTTTGCCTAAAAAAATTAAGGTTGGTTAAGATGTAAGGAGAAGAAAAATTACAATCTTATTCTCAAAAGCAATCATTATTATCTTGAAATACATCATTATCTATTTTTACTATGTGTTTTACTCACAGTATTGGAAAGGAGAATTGAGATTTTCTAGCCTGAAGCTTGAAGATTCAGGCATGTATCAATGTGTAGCAGAAAATATACATGGAATGATTTATTCAAATGCTGAATTAAAAGTTATTGGTAAGTGTATTATACTACATTATTATAAAACATTTTAGGAAGAAAAAGCAATAATTGCATTCCTATTAAGTTTCCTCAGTAGTACCTACCAACTGATAATATCTGTGTTCAATTCTAACTGCTAGCTTTGAATTTTAAATTCATTCAACTATTCAAACTATTAGGGTCAAAGGAATAGCTCACCTTAAATATGTTTAGAAGGATCTGAATATTTTGAACTACAGATAGATCACTTAGCAACCATTCAAAGTTCTGTCAGCTGCCAGCTGGTTATGTGACCACATATCAGGTGCTCAGCAACCAGCCTGCATTTATGGCTGTTTGCATTTTCCTACAGTCACATGACCATGTGTTATCTTTTTGAACAATTTGAATATTCTTTTGCATTGTGGCTTTACATTTAAATATAAATGTATGATAGGTTTATTGCATTTTATGCTGTAGGATTGTTCCACTGAAAACAAATTGATTCCTCATTAGCTTTACACAAACTCCATGTTTGATCTGAAGAACTCTATTACATACTTAGAAGTTTGTGGATTGTGGAAATGTATACAAATGCTTATTGTACATTTGCATAATTTGTAATATTTCAAATTGTTTTTGTGTTGTCTAATTGGTGTAAACTTCTTTGGAAATATTTGAAGAATTAGAATGAAACTTGTAGAAAATGTTGTGGCATATATTAATTCAAGATAGGGAGAGAGAAATAGAGAGAGACAGACAGATAGACAGATTTTTTTTCTCTCTCTTTTGATTCTAGTGAGTTACAGTAAGGATGGAAAACTTCTGTCAACCAATAGTATTTTAAGCATTGGTGTTGATTTTAGTCTGCTATACCAAATATATCTTTTGTTTCTTTTGAGTCTTTCAACATGTAGAAGAAATACATTTCTTCTATGTTTCTTACTTTCTGGACTTGATTAAATATGTTTTTTCAAGTAGAATTAATGCATAAATTCATTTATTTACTTAAACTCTCTATTTTGAGAATAGATGAAACTATAAAGTCTTACAAACGCAACATTATGGTTCAACTTTATTTTATTCTGCAAAATCTCTCTAGGTTTTCAGTACAATTGACTATTATATGCTATTGTCAGAAGGAGTGTCTTCAGTAGACATAGGAGTACACTGGTAGCATTGCATTGTAAAGTATACATGTCTAATAATTATGTTTTTCTTCACAGTTTTACCTCCAACCTTTGAATTCTATCCAATGAAGAAAGAGGTTTTGGCTGCAAAAGGAGGGCAGGCTATAATTGAGTGCAAGCCTAGAGCAGCTCCTAAGCCAAAAATTACCTGGAGTAGAGGGACAGAAATTCTTAGAAACTCAACCAGGTTAATATTACTACTGAATATAGTAAATAATCTATAAAGCATTATTTGAGAGTTCAGTATCAAATTAAAAAACCCTGTGTTTCTGCATGGTTTGGCCTGAATATAAGTGTGCCACAGAAATGGGAAATTTTGTTAATAAAACAGAAATTGTTTTAGGCTAGTTGGTCATATTGGTCTTCTTCATAGTTAGGTTGTGTGAAGAAACATTGTTAAAGGAAAACAGGTTCATGCATTTTTTTCTTTTCTTCAAATTCTGCATCTCCATCAGTATAGCTAGTTTATTCATTTGAGCTTTGTTTATTGCATAAAGATAGGCAAGAGTGACAAGAAACGAATGAACCTGGTGGTTGCTTTTGAATGGTGGTTGCTTTTGTACGAATCTAAAAAGTGTACAACTATTTTAAGGAGTCTACTCATGGGCAATACAACTGTTAGAGAATTTTAATTTTTCTGTTGGTGAAAAAATAAATCAGAAGCTCTCACAGTTGACTGCATTTTAGCTGATTCAAATAACTTCTTTATATTAATATCAAAATATTTACAATACCATACATTCTTCTTTACAGCATCATAGCACAATGAAGACTTCTTACAGAGAGATACAGAGACAAAACCAGAGACTGGAAGAATCCAGCTCCTAACTCAATACCCTTTTTGCACAGACTCAGTAGCACTTTCTTCACATTGGCTAACTGAGTTACCACATGACTCTTCCTGCTCATGAATATTCCAACACTCCTCCCTTCATGACAGGAAGAGACATCAGACCTATTGACTTAATACATTTTCCATAGTGAACACCACCCAATGGTTTAGTCATCATGTCTGCCAAATTATCCTCAGAAGAACAATGATGTAAACTAATCAATTTTCCTTTTACAGCTTCCCTG